GCAAACACAATAGGGTTCTACCCCTTCAGGGTTTGAAATCTAAAATGCTAAAATGGGTTCCCATGTATCCTGGAAGACTATGTTGTCCTGAAAAATGTTTTCATTGTATTTTAACCCCTCAGATCTATGCCTCAGGTGGCCTACGTATTTTATTTGAAACTTGACTGGTATGATAACTTGTGTGGTATGATACTTTAAAGCGGCTTTACCAGACGTGAAATGAGCTTGCAGTATTTTAATTTTCGGTCAAATAAAATTAATTCTACTTAAATTGTTACCTTTGGGCTGTGGCCAAAGTAATGTTACAGTCAGAGGGACACTATAGTAAAATGTAGTCAATACGCTGAAAGAGTACGCAGTGGAAAACTGTCTATGCAAAGCAGTAGGTTGCACAGACGGTGTGGGTGTCTGCTGGGTGAAGGAACGTAGTTCAGAGGGTGTGGTGATTCATAAATACGATCTCAGGGGCAAGCCGAGCCCAGCCCTCCGGTCTAACAAGCAGAGGACGGAGACAGAAGCTAGATAACAGCAAAAGCATAGGATTTTCATTTGCTTACTTTCTGTCTCTGATTGTTTCTATCTGACATATTATAAAACTCAGACAGACACGGCTAAAACAAGCTCCTCCTCTATTTTCTTGGTTACCAGGGGGATGAGTCCTATATCTAATATAAGACTGCCTAAAAAGGAGCACACACCAGCGTTTTTCTGAAAAGTTGAGAGATTTTCAACTACAAGTGCTCTGAAAAAAGACGTGGCTGCTGAGGTCTGTCCTCATTGGGAACAAGTGAAAAAAGACTGGTGCTCAGAAAAATACTAAAAGAATGAAACATGAACTTCCAACTTTTGTCAAAGAAGTTAATTTCAGCAGCTTGGTGTGGTTTGCATGTGATTGAATGAAGCAGTGAAAAGTGTGTGTAATGGTACTGTGTTCTGCTGAGGCTCCAGGATTCTCAGCATATGTGTCCTGCTGCCTTCAGAGGTCTGCAGGGATTTAATGAACTGAAGGAGAAACCTTTCATACAGTATAATGGAGCTGTGGAAAACACATACTGTAAGAAAGAGGAGAGACACATTTTATGCATTATTGCTGCAAGTATTTAGTTTGTTCATGGCAGCAAAGTGAAACAGACACAGTCATGAGATGTCTATTTGCAGCACAAAGACCTTTTTCATTAAGGGAACCTTTTCTATCATTGAGCAAACTGACTATGTGACATATTTTATGGATATTTCATATTATATTCAATAATAACAATAACAGTAGAGAGCAACAGTACAATGAACCCAAACAGTGAACACAATAACTGCAGGAAGTTTGTGTAAAACCAGAGATTTGGATGGATTTTGAGCAGATTATTTCCTGTTAATATATAATATATCAAAGATGAGTTTTACTGATATTTTTAGGAACTTTTTTATTTAATTCTCTGTGTTATGTATGTTTTTATTTTAAACAATCATACATACATATCTAAACTGTCTAAACTTAAAGATTCATTTAGTTTCCTTCAGAGAAGTGAACCAAATAGGCCTACAGTGTATATTTAAGTTTTCTTACACCGCTTCAAATCTACTACTAAGGGTCCTTACCCCCAGGTTGGAAAACTACTGGTGTAAAACACTTTTTCCACTGCGATTTGTCATAATATCAGAATTTTTAAACTTCGATACAGTACAGTACTAGCATATTTTTTTTTTGCATGCAGTGCTGCTACAGGAAGGTGTCACTGAACACATATTAACGTTGTTTTTCTTCCCTGTTGTTTCATCTGTGCACCCTTGGGTTGAAGAAATCTGATTGTATTGTATCTGTTTTTCTTATAGCTTGTATGGTATTGTAGATTTTATTAAAGGTATAACTAACAGAGATTGAAGAGATTGAAACACATTGAAAAAGTATTGACACTTTTGACAACCTCACTCTTTTTACGCTGCCTCTTTTCAATGAAACTGAATGAATGGTTTGTTCCTCTCACAGACAGAACACATTACTGGTTGCTTCATCTGCTTGCTTTTTGTGGTTATAAACAGAACTTTTTCTAGTTCTCCCATTGAAGCAATCTACAGACAGAAGGGAAACAACGGGGAATTGAAGGGACAGTCAGCTGATACGTGCCTTCTCCTGCTGATTTTGTACAAAAAATATTCAGTGCTCTGCTAGTGATACATTCTTATGTGAGTGCTCTGATGAATAATGTATTCCTTCAGTTTGAAACAGTAGCAGTTATATTAAGCCTTTCTGAAACTGTTGCATTGTTAAATCAATACATATTATTTTATGAATCCTGGAACCTGGCCTGCAGGTGGGCAAATTTCAAGGTCAGGAAAATACCAAACTGTTGGAGCGAACTGCTGCTACAATAGTGCCTCCTGGAGTTTGGTGACCTCTGCCAAATCCTTTTGTTGCAGCTAGCCTCAATCTGAGCAGAGTTCCAATCTGCCAGAACAAATGAAAACACTGTGTGGGTGTTTGTGAATAGCTGTAACCTTCCCACATCATGGTCATTTGTTATCACACTGTATTCAGCACTGCTGTTAGGCACAGCACTGTGCAAAAGAAGTCATGCTGCAGTTCCATACTACATACTAACAGGTTTCTTACCAAGTCTTGAAAGTTTGGAAAATGTTTAATTTTAACAGTTATGTTTTTTATAAGGTTAAGACGTTACAAATATACTTTCAACATAACCTGCTGTTTTATCAACACAGTCATGCAAACCAAATGCATGCCATGTTTGAAATGAAATGACGCCGTCGTCATATTTGTCTGTTGTCTCCTGGTTCACTCGTCATTCATAGCTAGATAAGTCCCTTCTTATCTGGCTTACTCTTACTCGGAAATTAGCGAGCATTAAATAATCATGATCAAAGCATGCAATCAAAGTTAGTATTGTCAGCTTGCAAAATAAACAGTGACAATATACGTTGGTTGCTGTGGGTGTAAAGGAATTCTATAAACTTTAATAATTGTATTTATAGTAATAATTTAGATGTGAGGATTATGGCTGATTTGTAAAGTGCTTCAGTTTTACTATTATAAATCTGTACGAAGCCTGAGGAGTGACGCATACGGTATCCATATCTGTATTCAATTCAATATTATTTGTATAGCGCCAATTCATAACAGAAGTTATCTCAGGACACTTCAAATAGAGCAGGTCTAGACTGACTCCTTATAACAGTTACAGAGACCCACAGTACCACCATGAGCAAGACCTTATATTCAACTTTGGTATTTATTTCACATGCTATTTGAAGGGTAAAACTTCCTTAAATAAGTCAAATGAAAGAAGCAGCTGAACAGGCAATATGATGTCCGTGTTTACTATCAAGAGTCAGATGTGAAGTTCAGTATTCATTTCATATGTCCAGTATGGACATATATGCAGTCAGATGGTATTAACACAGTGATATATGTGTTGTTGTACGGGCTTGTATTCCAACACAACAACAATTTAGGGTTTTGAAAAGTCAGTGGGACATGCTGTGTCCATTCTCAGTAGAAATGACCCCTCCTTCTACCCCTTGTCTTCAGCAAGTGATCAGTTGGATTGAGGTCAGGTAAAAAATGAGTGGGTGACTCAGTATGTATGTCTCTGTATGATCATTGGATTGCAGAAATAAAAATTGGGGTATGGACATGGCATACACCCTCACACACTGGAAAAGTTGATAATTAGCACTTTAACCAACTTGAACCAAAAAAATAAAAAGCCCTGTCAGTGTCCAGAATCCTTTGTGACTGCGCTGTAGGTCAGAATGTGTTAGCAGGGGGAACCGCTAGCCTAGCTTTACTAGCAGATCCTTCCAGAGTTGTCCCCCCCCCATGTTACCAGCATTCAAACCTGGCAACCCCAAAGACAGGACTTGTAGATTCTGTGTGGGCAGCTGGGTATCGAACCTCAGTACTCTTAGTGTGGACCAAAGGATGTTGTTATAAAAACATATTCTATTTTGTTTGCTTGTTCTCTGATCAGAAAGCTTCTGGTTTAAATCTTTATTCAGGCAAAATGCTTGTGCAGCTACTTATGCTTCGCTAACATTGGAGAAGTTTAAAATGAAAAAGATTACATTTCTTAAACTAAGCTATTGGAAAAAGCATTGTGTTGGTATTGGCACTGAAACTTGGGTAGCGTAGTGGTACGAGTCCTGAAACTTTTCCAAATGTAGCTGCATGAAGTAACTGGACCCAGCTCTTGAACCACAATGTCTATTCCTACACCACAATATGACGGGGATGTGGTTTTATTCACTTTTGATGAAGCTAGGCTGCTAAACATTCACCCTAGGTGATTTGGATGATATTCACAGAAACATTGAGCTTCTTATCTGACTGTGTGGAAGATGACAAAGGCTTGTGAGGTATTTGCTTTTATCAACATTTACTGTGCATTTACCAGTGTAGTAGGGGTGGACAATAGGGATAAAATCTAAAATCGAATCGTATCATGATACATAGTACATTTATCTATCATCTAAAATGAATTGTTTATGGATCAAATAACCACACAGGAATGGATGTTTTGATGTAGCAAAGGAAATATCTGACAAATCAAACAATAATTTAAAAATATTAAAAATCCAATAT